GAACGCTGGGTATTAAATATTGATTTGCAATAATATATTATGCATTACAATATATGCACAACTGTATTTCACTGCATGACTACATCCCTGGTTATATGCATTATACAGTGCACTGCATTTGTAAAGATGATGCAAGAAAGGAAATAGCTGTGTCAATATGTATTAGGACCAAGTGAAATTAGGCAATGAAACATTTTCACATAGCCTACTTCACAGTGGTCTCTTAAACATATTTATAATGCACCCCAGTTGGAAAATCTTAAACTGATGGCTGATTTATAGAACATGGTAACTGGTTTCTTGACTGTTTGTTGCTGATCCATAATGGTCTACCAGTTTGTACCAGCTAGAATCTCAAAACTCATCTACCATCTTTCCAGCACACTGATGTGCACATTTGAGCAATGCAAGACTCAAACATCTTTGCATCAAAACAATCTGCATGTGAGCCGAATGCTTGAGCTAATTATGACTGTCCACATGGTCTACTATTATTGCAAACCATCCATACTGGCTTACTTGAGTCTCGGGAATCAACAGCTGACAGAGGCATGATAATGCATGTCAGTCTGATGTGTTTGAATCACAAGAGGCGTTTCTGTTGAAGCGTAGACTGTCTGGCCGCCAGATTAACTTGATCATGACAAGCAGAGACACGCGTGCGATTATCAAGTGTTTTATCAAGAAATTCCATCTTTACAAATCAAATCGGCAACCTAACTTCATTGACTTGCCGCTTGAAATTGAGCATTCTGTCGGCTAATATTTCAGAGAAAATTGTAGACCTGCATGCATGATCTGCTCCTCTTTTCTCATGACATTATGATCATATACTTTAATATTATAGTTATGCTATCAAATACGAAAAATGGCGCTTGCCTCACTGGTGCACCCGGTATGAAAATCAATAAATTGCATTCTAAAACAAACCTATTCATCATATTAAACTGAAATGTGTGTAGGCAAGTGCAAGACAGAATGCAAATGTCGCGCCAGTGTTCGCGGTGACTGCGGCAATGACATTTCAAAGAGAGAACGTGGTGTTTCGCTCACCTGAGACCGCGACTGTACATGATACCGCCATCTTACATTCAGCAGCAAGAGTAGAGATACACTAGCTGCAGGCACGCAGATCTACCCCTGAGGTGACCTGCCCCTTAAGTGATCCGATCCGCCTTCCATTCAGTTCACGACTACACAATTAGGTGGACTACAAAGTGTGCAGTTCAGTAGTGGATGTCAAATGTCACAAATTGAAAAAAGAGATAAAAACTGCATCACCTTTTGAAAATGTTATGCTTAGAAATATGAATGGACATTGCATGGAGGTTCTTTTTCTATTGGGTGATTATTAAAAGTATATTTTAAATATTCTATTTTTAAACATTCTACAAGTGTGAAGAGTTTTTTTTATCAAGCTAAGCTTAAAAATTGTTTTCAAATGTTATGCAGTTAATTTAGCGCTCTGCTCAAGGTCAATGTCATTAGATATTTATTAGGACTAGAACATTATTTGTTAAAAAGGAAAAAAAAAATAGCCATTAGATTGCAATGACTGCATGCAATAATACTATATGGAGCTTAATTATCCTTTTTGAAATTACTTTTCAGTAATGTTTTGAAATTTTTAGTTTGTATTAATTTTATCACTTTACAATAAAGTTGTTAACAGTTAATGCTTTACGCATAATGAATAACGAACAAATATTGTGAAATATTAATACAATTTAAAATAACTCTTCCAATTTAAAATCTTTTAATATGTAATGCATGCCTGTGATGGCAAAGCTGAATTTTCAGCAGTCATTAGTCTTCAGAAATCATTTAAATATGCAAATAGGTTCTCAAGAAACATTTCTTATTATCAATGTTGAAAGCTTGAGTTTTTCCTAATTCAAATTTTTGGGTAAGATAATTAATGTCTTTAAAATAAACAAAAATAAAACCCAAACACCTGTTTACTAAAAGAATAAATTTTATTTCAGCACTGTAAGTCATTTCCCAACCATACAAACATGACTGCCAACTTCGAATCTCTCTCTCTCTCCGAGCCTTTTGGCTTTCTCCCCAATCCACCATGAAATCAGACCACAACAGCAAGACAAATTAAAAAGAAAGTTTCTTTCCAAAACAATCAGGTGCTTTCTTTATACTAAAAATGAGAAATTGTTAATAACGATCATAACCATAACAGCAATAATAATAATGAACTTTACCCTTCACTTCACAAGTTTTTTGGAGCTTTTGGAGATCTTGATGCATGCATCAGTGCGTTTGTGTTGATAAACGGATTGGTTTTCCAAGAACAGACGACAGAATGTGTTGCCTACAAATGGATGTCGACTTGATGGTCTTGGGGGCACATGCTAGAAAGCGATGGGGACGAGATACTTCCAAAAAATGTAGGATGTCAGCGGGCCACTGTACACAACACATTGCTGTTGTCAGACTAGGATTGAAACCGGACCACACCAGTGGTCCTGTGGAGTGAAGGGCGACAGAGCCAGGATACAGGGGTAACAGTAATAAAGCAAGAGTCAGATCTGAGGTCCAGACACAAATCTACAGGAATGCACAGGCAAAACTCTTCACCAAAATAGCTGTTGTGTGTGTGTGCGTGCGCATGGTTACAGTATGTGTTCACACTTAACCTATCCATGACTACACTGAAGCTACATTTTTTCAGAGGGACGATACATGTGCATGGGAGCTGAAGAAGTGTTCTAGGGTTAATCGCTATGAAGAGCTGTGTCCAAGGCTCCACTTGAGAGGAAATGAAGAAATCTTCATTTTAGCAATAAAACTGGACGATACAAGATTTAGCCACTGTTCACCAAAAAGATGTAAACACATTTTCTTCATTTAGTATCTGCTTACGGACCCCTTATGTATTCTAATAGCTCAATTACTGAAAACACGTAGCTGTATAATCATATATATAGGATCCAGAAAGAGAATCGAGACTGTTTACTATATACTGGAATAGTAGTATCCAGAACTTTGACTTTGGTTGAAAATTAATATGTTGCACAAATGTGTATTAAGTCTGTTTTGTGTGCAAGGAAGCAAAATTTGCTCAAAATAATTCAGCTTTGACTATTTTAAATCGATGTCCAAACACAATGGAATACGTTATTTCTATAAGTGACAATTACATGATAATGGTGAAGTGGTTTGAACAATACCATACAAAATAGAGGTGAGGAAAATTGCAATCATTACAGTTGAAAATATCTAGCTATGTCCGCTAAGCAAATTTTAATACTAAATGTAGCAACGGTCAAAGGAGTAGCTGTTGTAACAACATTAAAAAAAAAAAGTAAGAAAAACACAACTTCACAACTGAATGAAACCAAAGATGCTAAAGTTAAATTTCTCGATTCACTGTTGAAAATGTTACCAACTCTTGTCTAAGATTACTTACAGATTATTAGACTAATTATAAAAGTTAAAAACTCTGTTAGTATGAAAACGTAAGGAGAGTTGCTGCAGGGGAAACAAAGGCAAGAACAAAAGAATGAAGAGACAAGAGTTAAGAAGAGGGAGAACACTTGAACTTCTTGTGACTGTGAATGTCAATGGCCCATGAAAACTGTGAAAAAGAGGGGGGAAAGAAAAAGAAAGGGAAAACGCGTAGGGGTTTGCGTTTGTGATCAAATATTTTATCGGTTTTAACAAGACCAACATCTGGAGCAAAACAGTGCCATTCTAACAACCTCACTGATCTCCAGAGAATCCTTCTCATTCAAAATTATCAACTAGATATTTCTTAGTCTATATTTTACTCTCACATGAATCTCCATAAATGCATGAATGAGAGTTTAAGCAGCAATCTAAAACCGAACAAAGCAGAGCAGCTTTGGAGAGGGTAACTTTGGAACCAAGCATCTGAAACTGCAAATTAAGTAGCCAAATATTTATAAGAGAAATGAACACTCTGGACAATACATTAATATCTGAATGTGCCCAAGTTTAACTTTTTTTCCCCCTCATACTAACCGATGTCTCTCTACACGTATAACAAAGGTGTGTGTGTGTGTGTGTGAGAGAGAGA